ATTTCAACCTCTCAAATCCTAGGATAACTTCCACCAGTAGGTATCATAAACAAAAGCACATTGGAGTCCTCAATAATTTTAAAAAGAGTAAGGGGGTCTTAAGACCAGAAAGTTTGAGAACCAATACAAGTGGTGTTTTTGCAATCAGATTAAAGCATATTTTTAGATTTTAAAATTTAAATGTATAATTCTAAAGCCCCATGCTATATTCATTCAGCAAATTTTCTTCAATAATTATCATGCATGTACCAAACAATCACTACAGTGTAATATTTTATTTCAATTAACCACTGTTCATCTTATTAGCTTCAAAATAATACACAGAAAAAGATGTTCACATGGTAAAAATATAGCATGCTTCACTGCATTCAAATGTACTGATAATTTTCTAAGTACTAAGACTACTTTGCCATCTTGTGTTCAGTAAAGAAACTGCATGTTGTTTTCATTATTTTATATCTACTGACTTTTATCTAGCTCTAACAATTGTTAAGAGGTATAAAAGTATGCAACTATAACTGGATTTTAATTCTAGTCTTCAGTTCCACTAAAGTATGCTTTGTACAGGCTGAAGTTTTGTTTTCATACATAAACACAATCATCCTAATAAACTAATTTTTTATCATCGTGAAAAGTCTTTTTTTCTTTTATCGCTGATGAAATTTTTTGGTAAAGCTTTATTTTATTTTATTTTTTAATGTAGTAAGGACGGGGTCTACAGAGTTTCACTACACAGATCAGACTCGTAGTGATCTTCCTGTTTTTAGCCTCCCAAGCGCTGGGATTACAGGCAGGCGCCACCACACCCAGTCTCATTCCCTGTCTCAGTGAGCCCCGGGGGCGGGGCCAGCATGGCAAGCCAGGGATCAAACCCTGGTCCCTGCATCTGCCTAAGCAGGCACTTTAATCTGCTGAGCTATCTGGTCAGCCCGCATAGAATTATTTTATAATATTCACCCTAAGAGTCAAATGCAGAAGACTGTAGATCTGTCCATATAGTAGACTAAACGAATCCAGATGAAGGCCTACTTGTCCTCCATGGGTCTAACTGGAGGCCTGGAGCCCAAGACAATATCTCACGTAAGCCTATTTCATGGATCTGCACTGGGAAGGCCCAAAGATCAGTGATGGAAACTAGAAAGTCTACACCAGCAGAATGAAGGCTCTGTGCCACCAGGCTGAGGATTGTGCACTGGAGCCAGGAAGTGAAGCTCTATGTAAGGACCAGAGCTCCCAACAAAGGGAATCTGAGCCATCCTCAGTGACAGAGGACCCAAGCTCCTCTGACTCTGAGACTAGCTGAGTTCATAGCAGGAAAACCAGCACAACAAGCTTCTCCAGGAGAATCACCAGTGTACCATCATCCCCTCCAGTTCTCCTTTTATGCTACTGGCAATAATCTTCAGGTGGGCCCTCCACACCCAGAACCACGACAATTCAGTTCAGCTGTGTTACGAGCTGACCATTAGTTAAAACCATACTATCTAAAAGCCAATTTGTTCATCAGAGGCCTTAAAGATGCACGAAGCTTAGATTCTAGGTAGCTGTGAAAGTCAAGAGTATGAAGATCTCAAATTCAATATTCCAATCAGTATAATCTCTGCCCTCTCTTCATATTCCACACAACCAAGTGAGAACATTCCTAAAGCCACCTGTGAAAAGTATAGAGTCATTCCCTGGAAAAGACAAACTGGAAACAAACTACATTCCAGAAAACAGAAACACAAGGAATAGGAGTTTTAAACCAAAAGCAAAAATCTACATGTCAAAACCTTAAGATCCACCCAACACCATCAGCCATTCCCCAAGTGAATCCCAGGCCATGCATTTGCAAATGACTGAAGGATTTTTCTTCACAGGAAAACATCAATCCAAGATTGATGGAAGCCATTGAGGGGGAAAAAAAAAACAAAAAACAAAATCCATACCACCCAATAAAGAAAGAGTAGAAAAAGGTAGAAAATAAGAAAAATCAAAACCAAAATTAGTACTTTCTTGAAAAAATTAAAAAAACTGATAAACTCCTGGCAAGAATAATCAAGGGAAAAATAAAACCAAACAATTAGCAATATCGGGATGAAAGAGAATACAGGGTACGTTACAAAATCTAAAATCATTCAAGACAATAAAGGAATATTGGAAACAACTTTATGCCAACATACTTGACAACTGAGAGGAAATAAATTCACTGAGAAAAAAGTATAATAATTGACACAGAAACAACAAAAAATATTTCTTCCCTTAAATATTTTCAATAAACTTTTGCACAAGCAATCTTAGTCACCAAACAATTGGCTGAAGTTTTTAAAGCACTATGTCATGTAAACAAAACATGCACAGGCTTGATTACGGGAGCAGGAGCCAGGTCTCCTCGGATCACAACAGGAGAGGCCTTTAAGCACTGAGATGGCCAAGCACCATGAATTGAGTGCTTAGTTCTCTCTGGGAGACCAATTCTGTAGGTGGCCCTTTTGAAGCAGGTGTGGGGCTCTCTTCTCAATGAAAGATTTACATTTTTGCACACTTGAACCTGTGATGAGTGCGGTCATACTGACTCCTTATATTTTCTTACCCTCAATGAAAGATTCAAAGTAGTTTCATTTTAACAGCACCAATCTATTCAGCAAACATACCCTCTTTAGATTCACCTTTACCTGTGCTTCTTTTTGAGCCAAAATGTAAGTTTTCCAAATTGTTCTGCTGGTTTTGCCCCCTTCTCACCATTAAGCTGGCTAAATGCAGCCAGCATTACCCATGCCACAGCTGAGAATTTAGGCCACCTTGAAATCTCCTCTGCCAGAGCAATTAATTGATATCCCTTAAACTTACTTAGCCTTCAGCAAAGTCTTAGGACACAGGCAAAAGGCAGACAAGTCCTTTGTCGGACTGTGATATTTACAGCTTCACTCCGATTCTCAACAGAGTCCCCATCTGAAATAACAAGAACTTGGCCTTTTCTATCCACATTCTTACAGACGTTCTGGTCTCCTGAGTTCTGACTAAAACCACCGATCTGTCTTTGCACATTGCAGTCTATGGATTCTCCAGCCTACAGCTTCAGACTTCTCTAAATTCCTCCAAAGAACAAATTTCAAAGTCTTCTGAGCCACACAATCAGGTACAGTCACAACAAGGACCTCACTTCTCTGATAGCAATTTTCTTTATTACTCCAATCACTGGAACAAAATACCCAACATCCACAACTTAAAGAAGAGCTTTAATTTGGTTCATAATTTCAAGTTTCAGTCCATAATTGCTGGCTTCCAAGGAGAAACCTCTTGATAGAAGCGCATGCCATAGCAAAGCCGCTCACTTCATGGCAGCCAGGAAACAGAGCACAGGGGAAGAGCAACTGGAAGGGTTCCACCCTCCAGAGGAGACATCCCAGAAGCTCACTCTCCAGCGGGCCCCACCTCCTAACAGCATCCACAGATATAAATAGGAGTGGATTAACCCACTGACAAGCATGGCACCCCATGACCCAATCATGCCTGCAAAAGTCTCCATCAAGTAAAGCAGGATTAACTTCTACAGTTACCTACTCCTGCCTCTCTACTTATTGCTTTCAACATTCCCATTTGTAATTTGGAATTGATAATTTCTTACAAACTACAAAAATCAGGAAAATAGTATTTCTAAGAAACATGCAGTAAGTAATAAACCTTGCTATAAATGAAAACTGAAAATTTGTGTTTAAGAATGGCTTTCTGGTCTGCTTTCATTTTTTTTCCAACAGAATTAAATTAAAGGTCCTGACAGAGAAAGTTCTACATAAACTGGGAGCTACCAAATACTCTATGACTTTGACATTAAATTGCCAGGCAGATATATTTTCTTTTAAAAACAATATAGTTCAGAGATGCTAAAAACTTTTTTCTTCTGAAGTTCATCAAAATGTAAACATCTATCTAAAGAAGAAGCCCTGGTCAAAGTTGTAACTATATTATTCATTCATCATCTAGTACAGGCACATTTTTAAATCTAATTCTGAATCCTACCATAAAATAGCATGACTGTGGGGTTACACGGCATTACACCTGAAAAGTCCAGACAAAAATTTAAGAACATTTAATGATTAAGACTTACCTCTTATACATATCCAACAGTCAGCTTTCTTGTTGTGTTTCTTAAGTTCTTCTTCAGTTACTTCAATTAGCCTGCCTTTTAATCCTGTTAGGTCTTTCCCACTTTTGGTCATTCGAATCCAATCCATAAGACTCCTGCCTTGTTTTAAAGGAACCTAAAATAATAAAAAAGAATTTAAAAGAATTTTAAGAATTAAATATAACTCTGTGTTACGTTCTTTTCGTCATGCTCTTTCTCTTCTGGCCATTTCATTATGTTTATTCCCATTTAAAAAAGATAGAACTCAAATCTATCAATTCTATAGATGCTCATTGCTCATGTCAAAATTCTTTTTCCTGTATTAGAATTATAAATGAGACATGTATTAAAAACCTGGGCAAACAGGTGGGACCCAGAAATTCCACTTCACAAAGTTTCACTAATAACAGCACCAGAATGTAACAGCAAAGTGCTAAATCTAAAGTCAGAAAACATGTCGTGGTCCTGGGTCTGTTACTAATTATGACCAAAATTTCTTCACTTTAAAAAGTCAAGTGGGTGATGGTACATGTAATCTAAGTACACTAGCAGGCTGAGACAGGAGAATCTCAAATTTAACCCCAGCCTGCTTTTTCCTGAGATTCTTCCATGCTGAGAGGGTCTCAGTTAACGCAGTCCCACTAGGCCCTCTTGGACTAAAAACTTGACATGGACTCCAAGTAATCGCTCATGCTTTGTGTCACAACAGTCACAAAATGTGACAGTTATTTCAACTACTATGTCTCAGTGATGACAAAAGTAATTATGACAGGTACCGGGAATGAGAAGGAATTTGGAAAGATCTGGAGAAGGGAGCTGGTGAAACAGCCCTAGAACGCAGTATGCCAGGCTTGATGGGAGATTCTCATCAGAACTCAGAACACCACAATGCTGACAGAAATGAAGCTGGTAATGACGAGGCTAAGGTTCGAGTATGGTATGAGGACTACACTGACAGCTGGACTCCAGGCCCTGTGTGTTATGCTTTGACAGAAAATTTGCCTATATTTTGCTCATGTCCTGAAATTCTGAAGAAGACTGAGATCAAGGGCTAATTAATCTGGCAAAGGAAATTTCAAAGCAGCCAAACATTAAAGTTGTGGCTAGTTTTTAGCAAGCTCTACACAATCAAGAGCAAACAGCACAGGAGAATGATTACAAAACTTTGAGTCTTGCTAGAGAGGTAGCTCCAGTAAATCTCAGGCTAGCAAAGATGCAGCACAGGAGTTCAATTGCTAAAAATATTAGCACTGGCCCCGGCATGGTGGCACATGCCTGTAATCCCAGCTCTCGGAAGGCTGAGGCAGGAGGATTGCTGAAGTCAGCCTATGCTACAAAGTGAGTTAAAAGCCAGCCTGAACTGCATGGTGAAACCCTGCCTCAAAGACAAAAATAAAAATTTAAAATAAAATACTAGCCTTAAAAACAAGTCAAGGACTGTGGAATAGGACAAAAGGAAAAATAGCTAAAGGGCATGTGAGGAACTAGCAAGGCCACTTTTTAAGGCTCAAAATTACAAAAGTAAAAGACTGCTTTGATAGAGGCCCCAGGGTACTCTGTCGAAGGGCTGCTAGGGAACTGACCCCCAAGATTTAGCTTCCTGTGCGCAGCCAGTCAGGCATCTGAGCAAGATGCAAAATGGCACAGCTTCTGCTCTCGCTGGTCAGAGATCTTTGGTTTTATGCCCATGAAGCATGTAAGAATTCCAGAATCGGACAGGCTTCCATCCAGATTTCAGAAGGCTGGAAGATTAGGCAGAGTGGCTGAGAGGGCAGATATGAAGGCAAGCTCAAAGTGCAGTAGAGATTCCATGATGTTCCAAAAGCCAGGAACATGAAACATCTGAGAAAAGCCCCAAGGACTGGGCAAAGAGAGCAGGAGAAAGCCCTGAGGGCTATGAGCACTGGCACCGCAATGGGCCAGGGCCACTCTCCCAGCACTTCAGATTTCACATCTCACCGCAATGTGCACAGGGTGCTCAACATGAAACTACAAGATTGAATATGTGCCCTGCTGGATTCTGGTCTGGCTTTACTACCATTCTCTGCTATCCCCATTTCTCTCTTTTGGACTGGGAATATTTATTCTGTACCTCTGTCTGTTGGAAATGTTTAATTTCCATTTCATTTGTACTAGCGCTGCCAGCTAAGAGTTTGTCTTAGGACTTCTCAGCAATGTCGAAACTCTGTACTATGAAAACTCTTACAGGGGGTCTAAATGCATTTTGTGTAAAGGGACTCACCAGTCTTTCAGGGACCAGGTTGGAATATTAGAACTCAAGTCTAGATGTCCCCTCAAAGCCTCTAGTGCTCACAGGCAGGGTTTGGGGAGGTGTTTGGATCATGGAGCCCACTATTCATCATCTGATGAGTCCACTGTTGAGTGTATGTAGCATTGAGAAGTGAAGCGTGCTCTAGTTGGGGGCATGGCCTGGAAGGGTGCAGCTCCTTCTCCTCCCTTCTCCTTCCTTCTGCTTCCCCACCACCCGGCCATGTGCCACTCCTAATCAGTCACAGCTCCAGCTGTGCTGTCCTGACCCAGACCCAGCTGACTGCCTCTAAGCAGCCAGAATAGGCGTTGTGTCAGGATGAAGATGGTAACTAAGGCACTTGCTATGTCAGGGAAAAGCTTGGGCTTGAAGCTACAAATTTTATCTCATGCGCTCTATCAGTATGGGATACTTTCTGTCACGTTATGGCACAGCAAGATCCTTGCCAGAGGTAGGGCCCTTGACTTTAGACTTCCCAGAGACTCAATTCTGACATCCCCCGTGGGACTCTGTGTCTTTGCCGCCATGTTGTCTCCCCTAGATGCTGAAAACATGGTTCACAATTTTAATGGAGAAGGGCTGCAACTCATATTCTAATTCTGGAAATGACACACATCCAATCAAGTATTGAGTTTAAGGGGGGAAAAAATCAGGAAAGAAAGGACAAGATTGAATGGTTGTATAGTAAGATACACAGAGCAGTAAGTGAAATGTCACAGAATTACATCAGAAGCCTGTGTGTCCTAAGGCAACATTTCTTAACATCACTTCCCTCTTCTGTGAACTGAATGATAAAATCTCCCATTTCATACGATTGTTGTGAAGGTTAAGCATGTAGTAAGTCTCAGTAATATTATAATCGGGGATATATATCTGGAAAACAAATAAAAATTACAGTTGCCTACACCTAAATTCTCTTCTAAGACCAGAACCCCAGATCAAGAAGAAAAAAATAAGAAAGTTGGTGAAGGTCCCAAATGATGCTAAGACTCAAAGAGTCCAGAAACAGAAAAAGGAGTGGCCGGAGTAGATGAAGTCTCCCAAACAAAACGAGAAGTGCTTACTGAAAAGAGAAAGCAGCAAATAACGGGACCAATTAGGATCCACGTTGTAGCGAACACAGAACAGTTTCTATTAAAATTTGCAAATATAAAATACATTTGCGTCCCACCTGTGCTAACAATAACTATTCCCAACAGATACTCAATAGTATATTGGCTTCGAAGTCAGCAACTACCACCCGTAGAAAAGGTCGCGCTGAAACAAATCAGGTACCAAGGAAAAGCAGTGTGACCTAGAGAGAAGTCCCTGTAAAGCTGACTGGCGCTTTTGGGCCTTTGTCTTCGCTTCGCCAAACTTGCCTAGCTCCACAAGTCCTCGCCCTCACAAGGTCGTCTTTTGCGGACACTTCTGATTCTCCCCTTCTGCCACGGAAGCCACATCGTCTGCAACTCCTGCAGACGGGGGAATAAAAGATCGAGACCTGGACAGGCTAAGGCAAGGAAGCTGAGAGACGAAGCGCCTACAAGACACGCTCGGGTCCTGTTCTGCTGAGCTGAACTGAATTAGCGCGGAAGGACTGAGCACACGGGACCCGACAGCGGGCAGGTGGGAGAGCCGCGAGAGGGGGGCGAGAGGGGGACGGGACGGGACGGGACGGGACGGGACGGGACGGGACGGGACGGGACGGGACGGGACGGGACGGGACGGGCTGGAGGCGGCGTGGGACACGACAGCGTCGCCGGCAAGGGCAGAACGAACGGAGACTTGAGAGCGGCCCGGAGGTGGGGGCAAGGACAGCAGGAAAGCATCCGCCGCGCCGAGCGCGATATCGGAGAGGAGGGCGCGGGGCGACGTTGGCGGCGCCGCCCACTTACCTTGCTACGCCCCCCGGAGGCCGCGCGCTGCTGAGAACTGGGGGCCGGAAAAGCCTGGGAAGGGACGTTTAGCATCTTAGGCCTCTCGTCCGAGCCTTGCCCGGAGCCCGGGGCCCGCTGCCCGCCCGGGACTCTCGGCAAGACCCCAATGGCCAGCACGCCCCGCGCCGGCTTGGAGGCCCGGGAGAGGCCAAGCCCCCGACCCACTTCCGGGGTCGCCAGGGGTGAGGTGCGTCATGACGCAGAACGTCGTGGGGCGGAGCCAACGGGACGCTGGGAACGCCGGTGGGGGGGAGGGGAGAAGCACGCATGCTCAGTGTGTTTGGGGGGTCCTGAACTTCAGCACTAGAAGACGGTGACAGCTACTTCGGAAAAGATCAAAGAGAAGCTGTTCCTTAGCCTTGGTGCTGATAGAACCTGATAATAAATTCTTCTACAGTCCTATTAATCGAGAAGACCAGTGTTTGTCAATCGACAAGAAGTACCATCACACTACGTGAAGTACAAACTGCAATAACGTTATAAAAATCTTATGATTTCTCTAAAATTATGTAAGGTACTAGGCTGTAGAGCAAAGGTATTTGCTGTATAATGCAAATAACCATTACAGGGGAATAAAAATTTTACCGTTAAACACCCCCAGGGATGACTGACAGATGAGTAAAAGATGTTCTAACCTCCTTGTGCACTAACTCAGTCATTCACAAATTCTTCCTCATCAATAACTTTCCAGCTTCGCTGAAACACTGGGAGTTGTGCACCGAGGGAGCTCTCTTCTGATTCTGGTGGTGAACAGCAGTGATTGAGGCAGACTTGGTTTTGATGCCGCCCCTGTACTTAGTAACTCAGCTGTCTTACACAACTTGGTCTCTCAAAGCTTCATTTCCGCATCTGTGTAATGGGCTTGGGTTGTAAGTAGGATCAAATGATATTTAATAGCTACATAGTAGTGTGCGGCTTATTATAGACAATAAATGGCACTGACTCTTTGTACTATTCCAAGGTACTAACAGGAGAAGCACAAATGCTATGCAAATAAACAACACTCCCTAACACTCAAGATCCATATTGGTGAACTGCTGGGAATTTTTTTTTCTTTCAGGTCCCCTAAGGAAAACACAGATTTTTTTTTTATATTTTTTCTTATTTTTTATTTTTTAATTTTTTTTTTTTTTTTTTTTTTTTTTTTTTTTGAGAGTAGAATCCAATAGATGTAGAAAGATTTCAGGAGAAAAACTTCTAAATAAGCCTTATCCTTTTTTTAAAATTAACTTTCCTGACTCCGGACACATTATTATGATTGGAAATTCATCACATCTATCTAGTCTTCAGCATGCTTGGAAATCAAGTATCTTTGCTGTGTTTTTAGAGTATATGGGAAATGTGAGATATTTTTGGTCATTCAAGCAGAAAGCATACCTTAGCTAGCTTGTTACCTCGGGTCTCAACTCTATCTATGATCTTTCTGGAATGTTATTACTTACATTGAACTTTTTCTTGTGAGAAGACTATTTATGAGCTAAACTCCATGACTGGAATTTACCATATTACCTTCACCTTATAAATTGTTCCTTTTCTTTCTCATTACATGAAGTATTTTTCTTCACGTCTTTAAGAAAAACTAGTCACTGAGAATTTATTTTCACTTTCCATTGGAAAAAATGCAAATATAAATATCAACAGCCAGAAACCAAAGCACAAAGAAAGTTGATAATGTTGGAGTATGGTTCATACCTACAAAATATCAGAGCTTCCTCTTGAACAAAAATTTAAAATATACTTTTGAAATACTGTCATTAGGCTCCAGTTTTTTAGATTCCATCTAAATAACTCCCCTGAATCAGTGTTTTAATTATAAAGATCCCTCACGTAATACAGTAAGTATTGAATACCCATGGTATTTACTACTAGATTTTAAAATAATAGGAAACAGTAAGAAAGAATTATTTCACTTACTATTTTTAATCTCTAAAATTTAAGAGCTCTAAAATGGATTTCCATTATCAATTATAATGATTTAAAGTATTTTTGACCATCTGCTAGCAGACACACAATAACAAATGAGTGATGAGGTAACAGATTTTTTTTTTCATTATCTAAGTTAAATAGTACAAGGGCCGGGGAGATAACTCAGTAGAATAAGCCCCTGCCTGGCAAGTGCAGGTTCCTGAGTTCAATTCTCAGTACCACAAAAAAAAAAAAAAAAAACTATGAGGGCCGGCCAAATAGCTCAGTGGATTAAAGCACCTGCAAGCAGGTGTAGGGACCAGGGTTTGACTTCCCGGACTGCTGTGCTGGTCCTGCCCCCAGGGTGCACTGAGATGGCAATTGAGACTGGGTGTGGTGGCAGGCACCTGTAATCCCAGCTCTTGGGAGGCTGTAAACAGGTGGATCAGTATGAGTCCAATCTAGTAGTCAGATCCTGAACATCCTGTAGACCCTTCCATAAAATACAATAAAAAATAAAAAATAAATACATAGTACAAATCTGTGTGGATAATTTTGTCTATAATTACAATATCCAAATGAGATCAATAGGAAAGTTCAGATGTTACAAGATCAAGTCTTAAAAATTAAACATTGTCATTCTTTGCAAAATTATGAAGATAAATTTGTAATTTAATGAAGAAACCAAGATTATCCTTTGTAAGACCCAACTACATAATTACAACATAATTAAGATATCCGTAAATGTCACCTATTTTAAATTTCAACACTGAATTCTAGTGTAGGGAGTTTTAAAAAGGTCAAACTACAATAGTAATTTCAAAATATTTCCTTTTATTAAAAACTTATATACAAATAAATTAATTTTTTTAATTATGATACATTTATACACTAAGTTCAAATCCTATAAGCTGTAAATATCAGAATTAGCTTAATTTTCACAGGTCAGCTCTTGAATTTCATCTTCACTATCAGAATCTTCATAAAATGAAATTGTGGCTTGAATTGGAAAATTTTTCAGAAGAGTTTCTGCTTCTTCATATAAGTAATCATAACATTTTGCTTTTGGCCATAATAGTCTAAAAGAAGCAGATAACATAGTATGTTTTATTTTTTCACGGTCAGAATCTTTTATCCTCATGAAAGGATCAAATTTCAAGTCTATTATGTATTTAACAACTTATTATGCATTACATACAGCCTTTATAGAGTTTAAAAATGCTACTGTCATAACTTCCATGGACTCTTTCTACCAAAGCATCAATAAATGTGTGATTATCTTAAATCTTTCTTTCTTTTTTTTTTTTTTTTTTTTTTGGCAGAACCAGGGATTGAACTCAGGCCCTTGCGCTTGCCAGGGAAGCGCTTATTCCACCAAGCCATCTCCCTGGCCCCTATTTTAAATCTTTATCCAATCTACAAATTAGATCAAATTCATAATATATCCTAAATAACTATAAGAGCAATGGTTAGCTGACTTCTGGCATTATGCATATACTTAGTCTTACAAAGCGTAAGAAAACATTCCCTCTTTCATGTTTCAAGTTTCTTTAGGAAAAATGAAATCCTCTTCTGTATTAAAAATTCTGATAAAGCCAGCCTTACAAAGATCATAAAATATTATGCACCCTAAACAAAGGCAAGTAGTTACCTATTGCCTTGCTTTGAACTCACAGATTTAAGTCTTGATTATAAATGTAGCCAATATAAGTTTAGAAATATTTGTCCACATCTTGTACAGCAATTAACCACTGGGAGGAATGTATGCAATGTGTTAGTTATTGAAATTGTCCTACCAATTTGATTTGAAACTGTCTCGTTGCTGTTTATCAATAAAATTATGGAAAAAAATATGCTAAAAGCAGTATTTTTCCTCTATTGCATAAAGTTGTCTTCAAATTGGTCCTTCAGATTACCAGATAGAAACATGCAAAATTGCAAAACAAATTATAAGAAATTTAAAAGGACAATAAAAAAGAGAGAAAAGTTTAAGCATTGGCCACTCCCCTCTGTAGACCAGGAAAAATCAGCAGTACAAGTATTGACACTGTCCTGCATACACACATGAACTTACCTTTCTCCCCCTCCCCCTTCTGTCCTTTTCCTCATCTAGTAGAAATCTTTTTGTTTGTTTCTGCATGCACAACTTGACATAGAAAGGCAAATGGTGACACCAATCTGGGTCCCATCTCTCTTCCTTTTCCCCCATTCAACCAAATGTGGAAGCACCACATTGGAATATTGAGAAATGATATGTTTCATACAAAAAATATGTCAGATAAGCATGATTACCTCAGAGTTTTAAAAATCTGACAAATACTAATATTGTCATTCCTATTTTTTATTCAAGGAAAAGAAGAGAGATAGGGCTGAATCTGCAGCTAAAGCGCAATCCTTTCAGTGTAGTGTCAGTAATCCCACATATACATGTAAATAAGAGATGCTTATAAGGAAAAGATATTATTTTCTGTATGTCCAACTTTAGAAAGAAAAACTAGACAATCAAGATTTTTAATGTTTCTAGTAAGAACACTTAGAAATTTTATAATTTGAACACTTAAGTAACTATTAATTATCCAATAAATATTGTAATACTTTCTCTTTTTTTATCTTTTGGCCAGTTCAGCCTACCCTGAGGGTGGGGCTGGCATGGCATGTGGTGCCAGGGATCAAACCGCGGTCCCCTGTGCCTGCCTAGGCTTGCCTAAGCAGGCGCTGTAGACTGCTGAGCTATCTCGCTGACCCTGTAATACTTCCTTATGCCAGTAATTCACAACTTGAAGATGAATACATTAAGTGCGCAACTCTCAAGAAGTTGTCAACTGAGTAAAAATATGAAATACAATATTAACAAGATAGAAATTAGCAATATATACAAGATAGAAATTTTTAAAAGCAAAATTAAGTGCAATTAAACTGTAACAGGAGTTAAGAAAGAAAGGAATTGCTTACAAAGTGATCGCTACTCCTAATAGGTAACCAGAACTGCCAAACGTAAGGACTGCTGTTTAGCTGACATCATCATTCTCTGCCCAGAATTTGTCACACTGCATCATTTTTATTTCAGCAACTCCATCCTTGTTGAGTTCTTCCCGGTTCCAACTCCTCTGTCTCCTTTCAGGACCTCTCATTCTCCACATCCTGGCTGGAGACTGACCTTCCCTCAAGACTTGATCGGGCAAGACCAATTCTGTCCTCCAGAGTGCCTAGGAGGACCTCACAGGCAAGATGCCCCTGATCCTTTACTCACCACTGACTCCCAAACTTATAAGATTTTAACTCTAGGCCCCTGACATATTATGCTGCTCTCTATCTGACATCTATATTCGGATGCTCCACAGGTATATTAAATATAACAAAGAGAAAACTATACTCAATGACTTGCTCCCCAAATGTGTTTTAAACCCTAATTTCCCTCTTTTGGGTACAGTACTCATGCATTCACAATCCACACACTTGGGAAATATTCGGAATTTTTCACTTCTTCACCTACTATACCTAATACGTTACAAAGCCTAATGATGCCTAAATATTTCCCGAATTTACTTCTTTCTATCATCCACTTACAGTGTCATAGGCTTTTCCCTAAACAATTGCAATAGTTTCCAATTTCACTTTGGTGTTCCAAGTCTGTATATCATTTCCCCAGTGCTTTTTCTTTTTTTTT